CCCCCCCCCCCCAAAAAAAGAAATTCTCAGCCCTCTGGTCAAAAGGCCACGAGACATAGAGACAGCAAAGTTCAAATCTATACAAGATAAGCACAGTTATTCATTCTCATTGTCACTGGTGATAACACAGTAAGATAGTAGTAGAAGAGATTGGATTTCTACCCCGCCTTTTGCTACCCAAAGGAGTCTCAGAGTGGCTTACAAATGCCTTTCCCTTCCCCTCCCCACAACAGACACCCTGTGAGGCAGGTGGGGCTGAGAGAGCTCTGAGACAACTGCTCCTGAGGGAACAGCTCTGAAAGAACTTGTGACTGACCCAAGGTCACCCAGCTGGCTGCACGTGGAGGAGTGGGGAAATCAAACCTGGTTCTCCCAGATCAGAGTCCGCGCTCCTACACACTACACCAAACCGGCTTTCTGTAGATTTGCTCTCCTCCCTCCCAATTTATTTGGTCTTTGTCTGTGTTTTAAACCCTGCAGGTGGGCTGGGAGAAACTTGCTTTTGGTGGGCAGCAGGGGAGTGGTCTGAAGTTAGTTACCAGGTCCCCCTTAGCCCCTGCTGGGGGTGTGGGGGTATGGTTGCCAGATCCAGGTAGGGAAACTCCTGGAGATTTGGGGGTGGAGCCTAGGGAGGACAGGGACCTCAGTGGGGTACAGTGCCCTGGAGTCCACCCTCCAAAGCATCCATTTTCTCCAGGGGAACTGATCTCTATAGTCTGGAGATGAGTTGTAATTCCAGGGGATCCCCAGGTCCAAGTCCAGCTCACTCACTAGGCGAACTAGGCACTCGCCTAGAGCGTGCCGGCCCTTAGGGGCGCCAAACTGACACACACACACCCCTGCTGTCCTGGTTCAGCTGCAGACACTACTGATTTTTAAACATGTTATGATCTTTCTGATGATACAAACACCAATTCCACCAAAGAACTTAGCCCTCTGGGCACAGAAGGGTCACTCAGCTGAGTCAAAGAGGAACCTAAGTAGGGGGGCTATTACATAAGGACACTCAAGTTGCAACTGATTTATGGCAACCCCGGCAAGGAACTGTCAAGGCAAGTGAGAAGCAGAGGTTGTTTGCGACTGCGAGTGCCTTTCTTTGCAGAGTCTTCCTTGGTGGAAGCCAGATGTGCAAAGCAGGCAAAGTTAGAAAAGCAAAAGTGAGTGTTAAGAGCATGGGTGCCAGGGGAACGGGAGGTCCGGGGTACAGATCCAATTAATGGGTCCGAGCCATGGTGGGCGCACGGGGGGGGGGGGGCTCCAGAAGGGATCCTCGCCTAGGGTGCAAAATAAGCTGGGGCCGGCCCTGCCCAGGTCCCACCTGGAGGATGGCGTCCCTAGTAGCAGTGGATAAATGGTGAGAGAAGAAAGATTCAACCCCTTCCCCCCCCATCCACTTTCCCCCATGATATTCCCTCCTCCCAGGGTTTAAACAAAACCCGCATCAGCGCATTGGCCCTGTGTAGTTAGGCCCAGACTCTGAAAAGACTAGAACACAGCAAGTTTTTCAAAATTCGGAGAGGCCCGCTCCGGTCTGTCTCTGCATGACCCGCAGGACAAAAGAGCAAGAGTCTAGCAGCACCTTATAGACTAACAACATCTGTGGCAGATATCCGAAGGAGTGAGCGGTGACTCACAAAAGCTCCTCCCCTGCCACAAATTTTGTTAGTCCTGGACTCTTGCTCTTTTCTGCTGCTACGGACAAACACGGCGACCCATCTTGGGCTATCTCAACAGGGTAATACTGCCACCTGCTGGACAGAGATGGAAGCTCGTGCACACGCATTCACTGGAGCGGTCTTGGCGAGGGTGGGTGGGTGGGAGGACTTCGTCCACTGGCAGCAGAAGCCGAGTCCCAGTGGGCGTTCCTTTAATGCCATGCCTGAGATAAACCTGTCTCTCATCCTTGTTCATCATGCAGATGAGGGCGCTAGAATCCACACAGTGTTGGGAACTCGGTCCCTGTGACGCTGCCCTCCACCGTTCCGCGTAGCAAGGGAAACGCCGAACAAGTCTTGCGCAAGTGAAAAGTCTTCGGAGAACCCGCAAGGCCCCCGTCTGGTGGATTCCTTAACACAGCAATTCCTCCGTCCTGGTGGAGTGTTTAGTTAGCACCATCTCATCAGATCTCGGGAAGCTAAACAGGACCGGCTCTGGTTAGTCCTTGGATGGGAGGCCACCAAGGAAGTCCGGGGTTGCTACGCAGAGGAAAGCAATGGCAAACCACCTCTGAAGGTCTCTTGCCCTGACCTGGATGGCTCAGGCTAGTCTGATGGTGTCAGAACTCGGAAGCTAAGCAGGATCAGCCCTGGTTGGTATTTGGATGGGAGACCAACAAGGAAGTCCGGGGTTGCTACGCAGAGGCAGGCCATGGTCAACCACCTCCGTACGTCTGTTGCCTTGAAAACCCGATGAGGTTGCCACAAGTTGGAGGTGACTTGACGGCACTTTACATGCAGCCCACGGCAGCCAAGAAAGGGAGTGAAGAATCACTCCCAAAGCCCAACCTGAAACACACACCAAGGATCTTGGAATCCACCTGGGTGGTACCACAAACCCAGCCCCCAGATGAGCCAAACAATGCCTCAAAACCATGGGAGTGTTGAGGTTCAGGCCATATTGGGTCACTCCTCCCAGCTTCCCCCAACCAGGGCTTTCTTTGTAGAAAAAGCCCAGCAGGAACTCATTAGCATAATAGGCCACACCAAACAGCAGGAACTCATTAGCATATTAGTCCACACCCCTGATAGCAGAAACTCATTTACATATTAGGCCACACCCCCATGTTACCAAAAGTGTGCTCATCCAGCCACACCCACCTTTTTATTTTATTTATTTATTTATTCAGGTATTTCTACCCCGCCCTACCCCGCAAGCGGGCTCAGGGCGGCTTACAAGGGGCATAGGCCCATACATAAAATTCAATAAAATCCGATAAAATCACAGAATACAATCAATACATACTGTTAATAGTAATAGTAATAAAGTGCTTTAAGTTTTTAAGTTCCAAGATGGTCTACAGTTGTCTCTTACAGGAAGTGACCCCTGCCAGCGCTAGTTATACTAATATAATACCGGCAGTCTTAATCCAAGCTAATCGACTGATCTTGCCGCCATATAGTCCGTCTTGCCACCGGGCCATCAAGGGCGATCCAACTTAGATGGTATTTCCACCGTTGGTAGTGGTGGAAGGGGGGGGCAGGTGCGGCGGCCCCTACATAAAGGCCTGGGGGAAGAGCTCCGTCTTGCAGGCCCTGCGGAATTGCATAAGATCCCGCAGGGCCCTGATCTCTTCCGGGAGCTCATTCCACCAGGTAGGGGCCGCCACTGAGAAGGATCTAGCCCTTGTTGCAGCATATCGTACCTCTCGGGGATCCGGGGCCACTAAACGGCTCTGGGTCCCCGACCGAAGTGCTCTTGGGGGTATATACGGGGAAAGGCGGTCCCTCAGGTAGGTCGGACCCAGGCCATATAGGGCTTTAAAGAGCACTTTGAAGCGGATTCAGTATGCTATGGGCAGCCAGTGCAGCGCCTTCAACCCAGGCTTGATGTGCTCCCACCTGGGGAGGCCCAGCAGCAGCCTAGCTGCCGCGTTCTGCACCAGCTGCAGCCTCCGAATCAACGACAAAGGCAGCCCCATGTAGAGAGCGTTACAGTAGTCTAGCCTTGAGGTGACCGTCGCATGGATCACTGTAGCCAGATCATCACGGTCGAGGAAAGGGGCCAACTGCCGAGCCTGCCTCAGATGGTAAAAAGCAGACCTGGCAGTGGCTGCTACCTGGGCCTCCATTGTCAAGGAGGAGTCCAGGAGCACTCCCAAACTCCTAACCTCCGACGCAGGCACCAAAGGCACCCCATCGAAGGTCGGGAGAGGGAGCCCTAACCCCATCCCGTTCCGACTCAGGCCCAGGACCTCCGTCTTCGCTGGGTTTAGTTTCAACCGGCTCAGCCTTTTGCTTCTTATTCTGTTTACCTTGTTTGTTGTCAAAACCCAGGGCCTTTTTTGTAGCAGGAACTCCTTTGCATGTTAGGCCACACACCCCTAATGCAGCAAATCCTAATGAGTTTCTGCTGTTGGGAGCGTCATATTATGCTAATGAGTTCCTGCTGGGCGTGGCCAACTTGGATGCCAGCCGGAACTCCGTTCCTGTGCGTTCCTGCCCAAAAATAGCCCTGCCCCCAACTAAGCTGCTGAATTTCAGAAATGGACCCAATCGACCCCAAAAAGTCAGGGTGGGGGGGAGGAATTGTAAAACTTTCTTTCCGCCTCCTAAGGAAGCCATTTGGTGGCAGCAGGCACTTTTCGTTTCTGTGCCCACCATGCAGTGTCAGAATCCCAAAGGCCTCCACAGGGTCGTAAAGGTGGGAGGGACCCTGCACTAGTTTCAGAACTGTGCCTTTCCCCAGCACAAGGGGAATCTACACCTGCTGCAGTTCTGCCCGTCATCCACTGGAAACCCATCTGCCTGCCACACATGTGAAACCAGTTAAAACGTTTGTCTTAAAAGTGAATCCTTGAGCAGAGGTTGCCAACTGGGGACAGGAGGCAGGGCATCTATGCCCTTAAGACGGCAGTCATGCAAAAAAAGAAATTGGCAACCCTTGTTTCTGAAGGCACACTTTTTAAGAGCGTGCATGTGTACTTCTTAAAACTATCAAGCGCGAACGTAGTAAAACAGTGTTTCGGCATGCAGTGTGTACCAGCAACTGAAGACCAAGTGTGGTTTCTTCCTGCTTGTACACACGGGGTTAAACACAGCTGCCTTCCTGTGATGTGTGAAGGGATCGTTGGCAGGGTTCCTCTGCAGGGAGCTCTTCTTTTTCTTTTCTTCTTTTTCAAAAGTCCACCTGTTTTACCCGGGAGGGAGCCTGGCTGCAGTTGCCTTTCCCTAGCAAGGGAAGAGGAGGAGACGTGGGTGTTGCCAGATCTCAGCCTGGGCTCAGGTGCTCTGAAATCAACACCAGCCCTGGGCCCTACTTCATGCAAACAGGAACAAGGAAGTTGGAAGGCGCTTCACAGAGAGTCAGAGAAAGTCACGGACGCGAAAGGAGCAAAAGCAGAGGGAGGCATTTCTGCAGCAGGTAATAATTTCCACCAAGGAATCTTCACCTGGAGGGGTTTTTTTGGTTTTTTTTAAAGTCTGCTTTACGTTTCTCTTATAAATTGAGCAGCTCACTTTTAAGGTCTCTGCTTCTTTCCAAAAGCAACTTCCTCGTTCATCTTCTGCTCTGGGATCCGACACACGCACACACACAGACACCTGTTTGTCTGGAGGGCCTCAAGGACTTGGAAGAGAGATTGCTTGGGGTCATATTCAATGTTCCCTCTAAACTGCGAAGTCTTGCGAGCAAAAATTCTACTTTGTGAGCTACTGGCATTCAAGTTGTGAGCAAGCAATCTGGCTGCTGCGCAAATTAGTTTGCTCTGGAGCCATCCTTCCTGAGCTAAGACAAAATTGTGTGAGCCGGAGGCTAAAAAACGGTGAGCTAGCGCACACTGACTCAGCTTAGAGGGAACACCGGTCATATTGGAAGTCAGGAGCGTACAACATCTATAGCTAGATTGGAGACCAGTAGTGCCTTAGAGAGAAACAAGAGTTTCGGGGTTCAAGCTTTCAAGAGTCAAAGAGGAAGCTTTGACTCCTGGAAGCTAACACCCCGAAACCTCTTGTTCCTCTCTAAGATGCTACTGAACTCCAATCTGCTTTACTGCAGACCAACACGGCTAACCTCTGATGTATCTATCGCTACCAGGGGCTTGGTTAGGGCAACCTTCCCTGGACTGCAGAAACGTCTGTTCGTAAGGGCTGAAATGTATGTTCGTCATTGACGCGCAGAAATGTTTGTGACTGGTTCGCGCCGGCAGGCGAAAATCCGTGGCTGCGTTCGGTTTCGTGAGCCACAGGCCCGAGAGGCAGAACTAAGGCTGGGCAAACTGTCGAGGTGGAGAAAAGCAATAAGGAAACTGGACTGTGTCGGGACCTGCGTCTGACCCAGCTCTTGCTAGGCCCCCCACAGCATCTGGCCCCACCCCAGAGAAGAACGCTTTGTGAGGGATGCTCTCTGCTACCATATTGGCTGGAGTTAGAGTTGCCAATTCCAGGTTGAGGAATTCCTAGAGGTTTGAAGGGTGGAGACTGAGGAGGATGGGGTCTGGGGTATAATGCCCTGGACGCCACCCTCTGTCCCCTCCAGGGGAACAGATCCCTGCAGTCTGGGGCTCAGCTATAATTCCGGGAGATCGCCAGGCCCCACTTGGAGATTGGCAACCCCCGCTGGAGTTGTCTGTGTGACTCTGCCCTTGGTTAGCTCCCATTCTGACATGTTCAACTCCCCCTTTTGTCATCGACAGATCCATTGGGACGCTTGGGAAACCTGAACATGGCATCTCAAGGCAAAGACTTCGGCCAACAACTGAGCGACCAGATCAACGACGCGTTGGAACGACTGGCGACCAAGGAGATGTTCCAGACTGACTGGGATATTGCTGCCTTTGCCATTTTCTTCACTTTCATCGGTGAGTTGGGTGGGGTGAGCTGGCCAGCTTCTTTACCACCCCCCCCGCCCCGAGAGCGGTTAAGAGTGCGGACTCTAATCTGGGAGAACCGGGTTTGATTCCCCACTTCTCCACATGCAGCTGCTGGCGTGACCCTGGGTCAGTTAGAAGTTCTCTCAGAGCTGTCCTCTCAAGGGCAGTTCTCGAAGGAGCTCTCTCAGCCCCACCTCCCTCACAGGGTGTCTGTTGTGAGGAGGGGAAAGGAAAGGAGATTGTAAACTGCTCTGAGGCTCCTTCGGGTAGTGAAGGGCGGGGTATAAATCCAATCTCTTCCCTTCTTCTCTCAGCATCTGCCTCAATTCATAGCGACCCATAGAATCAGCATTGCTCTCAGACGACCTTCTGGGGACCTGATGGATGGCAACTCATTTTCACCCCCCTGCTTCCCTGTCCCAGCACACCTGTGTTTATCAAGCAGAAGAGAAAGTTACGTGGAAGTTTACCAGGCGGCTTGGGAAGAGCAGCTGGCCAGGCAGGGCGTCCCGCCTCCCAACTCCGGTTTGGCACAGTGGTTAGGAGCGTGGACTCCAATCTGGGAGAACCGAGTTTGAGTCCCCACTCCTCCACACTTGGCTGCTGGTGTGACCTTGGGTCAGTCCTAAGTTCTTTCAGGGCCGTTCTCTCAAGAGCCGTTTCTGTCAAGAGCTCTCTGTTGCGGGGAGGGGAAGGGAAAGGAGATTGTAAGCTGCTCTGAGACTCCTTTGGGTAGTGAAGGGCGGGGTGTAAATCCAATCTCTTCTTCCTCTTCTGTCAGTAACAGTTCTTGAAAGAGCTCTCTCAGCCCCGCCTACCTCACAGGGCGCCTGTTGTGGGGAGGGGAACCGGAAGGAGATTGTAAACTGCTCTGAGACTCCTTCGGGTAGTGAAGGGTGGGGTATAAATCCAATCTCTTCTCTTCTTCTTCTCTGCTCTTGTGTCTCTATCATCAGTTAACCTTCACGGCTTGGAAAGCTTCTTCTTCTGTAGACGTAGGGAGCCCAGAATGTTCTACCGGGTCCCAAATCCATGGCCTTCTGAATAGTTCTCCAAAATCCAAAAGCTAACAGCAGCCACTGAGCTCTTCCTCATCGGTTCCCCCCAATTCTGGAGAGCCGGTGACCTGACACGCCCATCTCGTTTCCTCCCAGGCGCAGTTCTCCTTTTGGTCCTCCTCGTTCTGATCCGCTGCTGCTGCTGCTGCTGCTGCGACTGCGAGCCCTCCGGGTCGTACCACAAGGTAAACCTTCTCGCGCATCCCCTCGGCGTTGCAGCCTCAGAGGAAGTGAATGTGATACAAAACAGGTGGATCTTGGGGTGGTGGTGTTTGGATCAGAGTTTAGACCCCCCACCCCTGCTTAGCACTAGCCCTCCCAAAGACAAGAGCATTAGGCATTCTGGCAGGAACGTATGTGGGAATGCACGCTGGAATGACCAACTCCTTTCTCAAGTGGGGAATGTCCCAAAACTCACGGGCCAAGTCTAGTCCTAGCATTTTCCTGGGGGCATCTATTGAAGCCCCCCAAGATCAGAGCGGCACACATGGATTTCCCCCATTTTGCCCTCACAACAACTTGTGTCAGGTCCACCCCCAATGTTCCCTCTACGCTGTGAAGTCTTGTGAGCAAAAATTCTACCTTGCGAGCTACTGGCATTAGAGTTGTGAGCGAGCGATTGGGCTACTGCAACAATTAGTTTGCTCTGCAGTCATCTCTCCTGAGCGAAGACAAAAATCTGTGAGCTGGAGGCTAAAAAACTGTGAGCCAGCTCACACTCACTCAGCTTAGGGGGAACAGTGCCCGCCACTCTGACCTCCGTGCCACTTCGTCTTGAAAGAGTGCAATGCCTGGTGGAGTTGCAGAGGTCAGCTGGAAGGAAGGGAAGGGACTACCCGGGGTCTCGTATGCATTCAGCTGCTGGATACTGAGTCAGACCTTTGGTCTACCAATGTTACTATTGTCTCTGCTAACCGAAAGTGGTGCCCTGACCTGGATGGTGCAGGCGAACTCAATTCCGTTAGATCTCGGAAGCTAAGCAGGGTTGGCTCTGGGTAATATTTCGGTGACCTCAAAGGAATGCCAGGGTCATGACGCGGAGGCAGGCAACAGCAAGCCACCTCTGAAACGTCTTGCCTTCTAAACCAGCCCAGCTTGCCACCTAGTGGTGCATGAAGGCATCTTGCTGCCGGACAATCTTAGGCTCTCCCGGATATAATATAATATAATATAATATAATATA